TGTGTGTGTGTGTGTGTGTGTGTGTGTGTGTGTGTGTGTGTACATCTGTAGGTGAAATAAATTCCAATGTGAAATATATATATCCTTATATTTAAAACTATATACAGCAATTATGAATTGTTATAAACATACATGATAAGGAGTCATAGAAGATAAACTTACTTTTTCTGCATAAAAAATTATAGTTATAAGAATGTAATAAATGAGATACAAGATTATAATACATAATTATATTATATATTGCTGCCTTAAGTAGAAAACTAAATTATATATCAATGCATTTAATAGTGTACCAAAAATGCTAAATGTGCTATACTTGATTGTATAATGTTACTTTTAATATGTTGCAATAATTACTTAATAATTCCAGATTAATTTTATATGTGACTTAAAATATAATAGATGGTAGTATGGATTCAATCTTGCAAAAGCAAAACTATATCATTTGAATGAATGTTCAGAACTTAAAATTAAATAAGTTTATTTCAATCACCCTTGTATATATTGCACAAAAAAATTAGTAGAGTAATTGAAATATTTATTATTTACTAAGACTTGTACCTGATTTTATTTTATTCGACATTGCATTTAACGTTTCTTGATATTTGAAGACACTTTGTGTTTTCGAAAAGTCACTTTAATCATCCGTACTATACTATACCAATGTACACTGAAGACTGCTATATTAAGCACAAAGGTACAATATAAGCACTTTGACGATGAAATAAGCAATGTATATTTTGCTAAATAACGACGATAATATTGGGTATTTAGAATTCGTCAAAATGTTTATATTATGCCTGTGTATTAAAATAACTTCATACATAGCACTGTGTTTTCACTGTGCATCAGTGCAGTGTAGTGTAGGTGACCAAATTCATTAAATATTAAACTCCACATACCTTATGTTTTTGTATTTTTGAAAGAATATATATATACAAAAATATTATTTGGATAAAATTCTCTTCTTCAAATCGCACACTTCCCATAGCAATTATACAAGGATGATCATGATAAAAAAATGTAATGCTTTCTAAAATGAAATATTACTTACATATAAGGATTATGCGATTAAACTATTGCAATGAAATAACCATAATTTCTTTGCAAATCTATTGTGGAGATTTCTCTTATTAATGTAATTCTCTTATTAATTGTAAGTCCAATTCTGGTTGTTAGTTTCAAAGAAGTATCTTCGTACCCACAGGACATCCCAGGAAAATCATAGCAAACTGAACAACGAAAGTTCATTGCTCAATTTGCTATGATTTTCTTGGGCGCATGGATACGACTATGTCTCAGCAGCGAGCTCTTATCAGTGAAAGACTTTTCGCACTCGACACACTTGTATGTTCTGCCAGTGTGCGTGACCAAATGTCTGCTAAGACCTGATGCATGACAAAACGCCTTCGGACAGAGCTGACAATGGTGCAGCTGGATATCATTCGGATTCAGCTTCTGATGCCGACGCATGTGCACCTTAAGAGCTTCCCGCTGTGTGAAGCTCTTCTCACAGTGCTGACACTGGAAGGGTTTCTGACCAGAGTGTGTCATCAAGTGACGGAATAGGATCTCTTTCTGCGCGAAAGCGCGATGACAAATATTGCAGCCAAATGGTTTTTCGCCTGCAAGCAGAAATAGAAATAACGCACACACATGCGTTTCTATAGTAGTAATCTTAATAGGTATAGATATATATTTGTATGTTTGTGTATATTTGTATATTATGCAATTATCTGTATATCAATGAAAAATATTAGGATATAAATCTATCTAAGGAATTAAAATTTTCTCAATAAGAGCAAAGTTAATATGAAGTAACACTATATAAATTAAATATATTATTCTAATTAATTTTCTACTAGTACTAAGAAACACACCCAAGATGTATCCGCCAACAAGCTCCTCCTCTGTCACTTCAATTGGATCTCCATCTGCTTGGCTATTGTCACCTTTGGTCGAAACTAGATCGGCTAACAACTGTTTAACTTGTTTAGATTTGCCAGTAGTAGATTCCTTTGAATCATCCTTGTTGCTATCCTGGTTTTCGCCTTCTTCGTCCTGCCCAGTCAATTGCTGTATTAACTTCATATGTTTTCTGAGTTTGGCATCTGCAGCCTGACATTTTTTCCTGAATTGGTAGGATTTTTCTAATTGATATTTGCACGGATGACATATCATGTTAGGTAACCCATCCTGTTCGTAGACCTAAAAGATTAACATCAAAGTTATCAGTTTCAGTTATAATTATATTAAAATATATATAACATGTAGAACATTAATTTATACATTAACAGTACATTGCATTTAAATCAATGCGTTTATTTTTATTTAGTATATATATATAATATATACTAAAGATATAATAGTAAACGATCTTAATAAAAGGAAAGGCATATAGAGAAAGGAGAAATTAATATTTCAATTAACATTCTAATTGAATATTCAAAATAAATATAAAAATTATCCAATATTTCTAACTATTGTGTTTAATATTTCAGATCTGTCCATGTATATAGAAGATCCTGTTTTCTACGTTCTGTCAAGAGATCGTCATTCATAGGGGAACCGCGTAACATGATACGTTGAATGACACCTCCGAAAGAAGTGGCTCGCAATTACTACATCGCAAAGGGCGCCACGATTATTTGTTTACAACGTCGAGCAGCGGGCAGCGGGCAGCGGGACGCTTATAGGGGACCGTTATATGTATCCGACGTACTATTACAGATTTCTATAAATCCGTAAGGTAAACGAACGCAGAGTCCCCGGTGAAGTCTAGGTCTCTGCAATGAGACGGAGCTATCGTAAAGACGTACCTATCGCCACAGTTCGTCGATAACTCGGTAAAGCCGGTAGTTGCTTCGCGCAACGCCGTTTCATCGATGTATTGTATGTGTGTGTGCGCGTCTCTTTTTGTGTAAATATACATATGTATATGAAATTTATACACCGTTCTAGGTCGGTGTATGCGCTCACATCGAAGGACACGCGGGAGGAGGAGGAGGTGGAGGGTAAGAAGATAATGCGAAAGGACGCCGTACGGTGCGCGCAGAGAGATAAACTAGATTCCTATTTTTCGATCAGCCGCCTCGGCTGATTATCATCGCGATCGAAATACGACGTAGGAATTTCGCGGACGACCGCGAAAACCCACCTCGATGTTGACGCAGGCGAGTATACGCAGCGGCAACGGCACGGTCTCGTCGTCGTAGATCGGCACCATCTCCTCCTCCTTGCCTAAGCACAGTCGGCACAACTCGTTCACATGAATGATCACATTGCTCGGGCTGTCGCCCTTTTTCCTGCTGTACGTTTTCATCGTTGCTTTTCCGGCCGTGGGTGAGCCGTACGTTTCCGCGCCTCTCGACGATCTATCTCTTTAATTTCTCTCTGGCCTCTCTCTTCCTTCTTCTCTATCTCTATCTTTATCTCTAATATTCTTTTCGAATTTGCGGCAAGTGCACGACGGAGCGTAATGTCGAAAACGCGACGGAGTTTTCCGTAAGAAGTTCGCGATCACCAACGCCGAGACTCGGTCACTCACAACGGAATCTATAATGGCGGTCGTCCGTCAATGGCGGCGCTGTCGGCGAATTGGCAGCACTGCGCGTCCGCGACCCCGACTGGCCCGACCCCCGACGTCGGTCGATGTGGACGTGGACGCCATATTTGCGTACACGCGCGCAACATGAAGAAAGACGCGTACTCGGCGCAATGGCGAGCGGGAGAGAAACGGAGCGAGCGATCACGATATCCCCCGCTCGAACGGCATCACGACTCGCGACGATCGTCAGGGAGAAGAAGAAGAAGCAGTGGGGCAAATGGCGTCGTTGCCGCGCGCGCGAGAGTCGGTAAGGGCGATTGCGATTATTGATTTTCCATTCTTCCCAACGGCGGGAAATGCGAGCCTCGCTCACCTCACCCTTCATCCGGCGCGGCGCCGACTTCGGCGACTCCTGCCCGGTAAACGGCCCTTATATATTTCTCTTCGGCCGTTTTTTTTTTTTTCCCCTCCCTCTTCTCTGACCTTTGTTGGCGCGAGAGATCGAAAGATGTACCCGCGGGAAATGAGAAACGTGTCACACGCATAATTCCGTTACGTTCTTCGATATAATATAGGTATATCGACGGACTCCGTCCAGAGTTTAATCCGCTCTCTCTCTCTCTCTTTCTCTCTCGCCGGTGAAATATTTCATAGCCGATACGCAGTTCCGGGTCCTCTTCGTTATCGAGCTGAATCGAGTTATTGTAAAAATTAATTGTTTCTATCGATTTTTTTTTTTTTATCATCGAGTCTTTACTCTCTCTCTATTGAAATACGCATTATTCGTTATTGTAACAAAAGGCGTAAATATCGTAGATTGTAGCTACAGGAAAATAAAGTTTTATAGAAATATAATACAAATTAAAGGAGTAAAAAAAGAAGATTAAAAGAGAGAAGATAAATTCGTATATAAAGTATTTTTTTTTTTTTTTTGTCACATTGTTTTCTATATTGAAATATCTCTATGCATTCCAAGATATTTTATCGAAAGCTCTATTTTTGAAACAGATGTTTGCAAAAAGTGCTTTGAAATGGAAGGCCAATCTTTATTTTGGACATATTCCTCAAAAAACTGTTTATAAAAAATTTAAATGCTCACAATTATCACAATGTTTCATAAAATATACATTTAATTCAATAATTGAACGTAACTTGAAAATATCCTTTTGAACAACTGACAATTACAATTTTATTTCTACAATTGACATAGGGTTTTGTCAACATAAAGTAATTAGAATATGCTACAAAATTATATTGATGTGCAGGAGATGACCACAAGAATGTGCTACAGCATGACTGGTTGCGCGGTTACAGGCACCGATCTCTTTCCAAAGACGGTAATGCAGAGATCAAAGTCATATGAATACAGCGATAACGTCGCAAGACAACAAATACCCCATGATTTCATTAGCAGCTTTCACATAATCGATATTATCGCAAAAGGTAAGATAATATTATATACTTTTATAATAATATTGCCATGATAAGAAAAACATCGTCGTAGACACACGCGATAACGAAATTATAAAACTCTCATACCAATTGGTGTTAGAATTACTTAAAACTTCGCCGTAGAGATCTGCTCCCGAAAAAGTAATGTTCTCAAACGGAAACTGTCGGTTAGAAACACTCCTTGCGAACATCTGTTCAGGAAATAACGCTTTCGATAAAAATATTTTTGGATGTACTGAAATGAAGATGTTTCAATAAGCAATGTATGAAAAATAACGTGACGAAAAAATACTTTATTTTTATTTTTACAGATTTTAAAAATTTCTTTAATTTTAAGAAATATTTATCTTCAATATTAGTAATCACAAAATATCTTTTAAAAATAAGATGGTTTGATATGGAATATTTCGGAAACTTTTATTTATTATGAATTTACATTTATAAATCATGGTTAAAATTATATTCAATAAATAAAATCTATAAAATAAAATCTAATTAAAATTTTATTTTATTATTGATACTATTAGTTTACTCATAAGCACAAATTATTGATAGCATCGTCATGATACTGATTGTAATTTTATGTATGTTTCTATAGGAGTCGATTTAATAAATACCGGGTACCTCCAACAAAGTAGAAACACATTTCGCCTTGAAACAACTTGAAACTCCGTAAACAAGGTAAAATACAACGTTAAAGCACTTTAGTCTGCTTTATTTTTATTTGCATTAGCGAGATAGATTACACAAAGCGTACGATTTACCGGCTGTGAACGCTGGCGCGTCTTCAATTCCATATGGCGTAGAATCCTCGACAAAGTTGCGTTAGATATTGCGGATAGAACTTATCGAATGTGGATAGACAATTGTTTTCGTTTCTTTTATCTCATTACTCAAAATAAAGAATGCTATCATTAGGTATCGATCATTGGACAAAGATCTCTTGGAAAATAAATATGCATAAGGAAGATTAAGTATATATACAAATATAGACGAATGAAGGACGGTTAATATGCTTGCATGCAATATTAATTAAAAAGTTTGTCAATAACGGATAATTCCGAGTAACATAATCTATTTTCAAGGTTTTTCTTTCTTTTCCTTTAATGTTTGCGACATTCGGTAAATCTCGTTTGTTTTGCACCTCTCTTTCGAGAAAAGCCTCATCGCATTTTGTAAAATTTCTAATTGCACATAAAATATGTAAATTGGCGCGAATTTCTCACGTTTTGATATACTTGCGACAATTTCGAAATACTCATAAATGGTTCATAAATGATATACGTCTTGACCTTTCTCTGACAAACTTCGAACTTCTCGTATATATTTTATGAGAACGCAATAAAATACACAACACGATACGCATGAATATTTGAAAGAAAAGTATCAAATTAAAAAAAAAAAAAAGCGACATGGGAAAGTTTAAGATATTCGTTCATATATTAGCTGCTTTTGCGAAATTTATTTTGTAGAAATTCCAGTAACATTTGACGTCACGCAATTTGACATCTATATGCGATTTTATATTGTCGTTTTCAGTCGAACGTTTTACGCAAAGAAATAAAAAAGAAAAGAAATATCCGTGTGCGATTTTTTGTGATATACTTTTACTAAAAATAAATTTTGCACTCTCTCGATTACACGATCGGCGACATGTTTCTGCCCCTCAAGCTCATGTAAATCACGAGATTTTTCGAAAACGAAGTGCGAGAAAACGCAGACGAGGCTTTCCCGCGAGATTGCCAGGAAATCCGCCGAATGCCACAAACATTAAAGAAAGAGAAGGAAAGAGAGGGAGAACATCCTGGATGTCGAAAATAACCGCGATGAGGGAAGAGGCGAGAGGGCAGAACGAATTCGGCGGTTCCGGGTGAGGGAGGGGGCCGACGATAGTTGTCTTCTGCTACTCTCCGGTGCTTTGGCTTTTCCGAGAGTCCAGTGTGTTTCGCCACCCGAGGAACCCGCGTTCTCCACGTATATCAACGCGAAGGTAGGTGCCGCGTTCACACATGTTGCATCACTCGTTGTCATCGATGCATTCCGCGGAAAAATCCAGAGGAACGGAAGATACAGGAAGTCAGATCAGGAATAAAAAAGACAAAGAGAAACTATTAAAAAGTGGAAACTGTGGAAGATATAGATGATCCAGGGGGAATGTGAAAATTGAGAAAGATAATATCGAGAATACAAGAAAAAGAGAAATCAAAGAGAGAATCTATAATAAAATATAAAAATTCGAAGAAAAATTCGAAGAAAAAGAGGAATATAAAGCAAAAATAAAGGAAATAAAATAAAAAAAGAAATATTCTAAATCTTTGGAGATAATTCAAATTGATAATTAGAGTCAATTGATAATTGCCTATTAGAGATATTCTTTTCTATAAATTTTTATTTTTGAAAACTCGATCAATCGCTACGTTTTTATAATTGATTTTTTTTATTGGCAAGATAGTTTTCATACTCAATACCATCTTGATATTTAATAGCCTAATTGTCAAATGTTTAGACAATTAAATAATTTAGTTGTAGTATTTACAGTAAAAAAAGCCGTTAGTTTATTACAATAACATTTTTAATTTAATTACAATAAAAAGAATAAGAATAGTTGATTATATTAACAATGATTTATAATCAAAATGATTTGGTTATAGATTCCTATATGTAGTTGTAAGCATTTCTAAAATATGTATTTGGGAAATTTTTAGATGATAATTTAAGATTTGTGGATCGCGCATTGTAAGTTTAATGGATAAATTAAATAGAAAAATTAATTTTTATATGTATATTGTATTCCGTATATTTTGAATCATATCCAATCCTTTTATTCATGACACATAAGTCAGGCAGTACATAATAAAGAATTTAATTAGAGTGTAAAGTATCGATCTCTTATGTCATGTGAAAAAGTTGTATTAAATTAGAAATTTAATTGACGAGACGGTTTAAGAATGTGAGTCAACGGAATGCATTGCCTGAAAACACAGAATTGCTCCGCCAAAAACGAGGTCATCTCGGGAATATCCCGTGATTTTTAGATGAAGTGTTGTTTGAAATTTGCACGACAACGTTTTCGGCGCGTCGCCCCGTCTATTCGCATCGCTCTGTGACTACCACAGATGAATCCGTCACAATTCGGACGGCCAAAAGTTGTTATACGCGACGTTGTATCGTATATTGTTGAAACAATCCGCCAGAAATAGGCGACGTGCGTCACTTCATAAACAACGTAATGCGGAAAAATCATCACCCTCTCTTTGAGGCCGATCGCGTCGTGCGATATTCTTACTATTATGCGTGTATCATAATTCTGCGAAAAATAATGGGATTATATAAGTATTCTATATAAGCATTTACAGAATTAATTTTTGTATTTTAGCAGTGACTGATTTTAGAATATTGAAATTAATTTTTTTACGATCAAGATAAATTTTGGCTAAATATTGGATAATTAGTATTAATATTCAATATCTCAAAAGTTTTAAAAATATTCTAGAAAAGAAAAATCTTTTTCTCTCTCTCTCTCTTTCTACTGGTTATGCTAAAAGTTGCTGTTATTTATTATTCACTTATGATGAAATTAATATTTATAATTTTATAGTGATTTTATAGCTACTGATTGCATCATTGAAAAATTCTTGCATTGTCACATTTATTCGATGCAACAGACCATTGTAATATTATTACTTGTTTATTATTCAACATTCGTTCTATTTAGGATAAAGAATGATCTCGAAGAATCGATCATTTCGCGCGATATTTGCATGGATTGCATCTGGTACGCATGAATGGAAACTGAATTTCCGATGAGGCCGCGACATTGTCGTTCAAATATCGATGCAATTTGGAATAGACATGAGTTCTGTAAAGAGAGAGAAAACTAATCCCGTAAATTCCGAGAAATGCTAAAATAGTTATCGTAGATAAACTGAATTATAATTGTGACAAATTGGGACCAATCTTTAGTGTTTATGTAAGCGAGTTTTACATTTCAATTTTTATTTCAGCTTTTAATATCAGTATTTTATATATGACTAAATTAGTGAAAACATTGCAAGAAATTATCGTAACAATTTCGTCAAACACAATAATATCGATTATAATACCGTGCTATTATTAAATCGGCACACATTCTATTATCAACCGATTTTTATTATGACGTGTGAGCTTTAATGTAATTCAATACGACCCGGAGGAGAGTGTGCGCGCTCCAAAGACCAGCTGGTAAGAGGAGGGAGAAGTAGAGATTTTGCGGACGATGTAGATATATTCGGAGGAATTTCTAGGCAAAAATAACCGTGGTATAAGCCACCGGTGGGTGCCCAACAGGGACGTGTCAGTGAGAATTTGAGAGATTTTCAAGAATTAAATAGATCAACGGTTTTTGAGATCGATTAAGCGAATGCCAGAAAAATCGAATCGCTGAATAGAGGAAAGAAGAAAAAGATGGTCACATTTAATCGTTTAATTTTTATAGATTTTTAGACAAATGACTAAAATATATTATTAGTATTTATACACTCCGAGAGTATAGAGTAAGAATAAGTATATATTGTAGAGATCTGTTTATAAAAAAACGCCCACAACATCGGTAAATTTGAACAAGAAACCTTGAGGAAAGATTTTGCGTATCACATTTTGGAGCAATCTGAATATCTTTTCGTATACTTTCTCACATATCGTCGAATACACGGAAGATATTTACTAACGGAATGCTTCATCTGTAAATCGCATCTCCAAGTCCGTGAGTTTTTCCTGGCTTTCGATATAGACACGCGCGTTAAATCTTTCAACGACGCGCAAAGAGGGATGTAAAGTGTTCCGAGAGAATCAACACGGGGGTGATAAAGATGCCATTCGTGAAGCGATATATTTTTTTGCGATCCGTTATACGACGCGATAAAAACAGAAGGCATCCAGCTATTTCGCACGCATGTCAGTGAACTCGCGACTGATCGCTACTGAAGTGACCAGACTTAATTGCTGCGACACATCAAGATTTTAAAAATCGTTAATAAATAAACACTTTCACATATTTTAAATTAAATCGTAATGAAAGAAACACATGTAAAAGTATAAAATGTTTAAAATATATCTATTTTTCCAATATATCTATTAAACTGCGTATCTATGAAAGGAGAGAAGAGAAAGGGACGTAATTTAAAATTTTTCTCTTTAGATACGAGAATGGTTGTCGCTGAATTGTACATGAGAAGAACATCGATTATTATTTTTTTTTCAATTAAATACTCGATATTTTTTTATGTGCGTGCGTCCTTGCGCGAATTTCTTGGCACGAGTCTGAGAATAATACCTTACGTTGTGGCTGTAGAATCTGTCTCTTTCAGGGTGAGATCGAGTAACCAAACATTTTCGAACGATCGTTGAACGATCTCTTCGAGATGACTCAATTTCCGAAATTGCGCTCGCTCTTCAGTCTCGCGCGATTAACGATCGATTTGGAACGTGATACGCGTGACTCATGTGTCAATCTAAAAATGTCATCATTCATCATGTCACGTGAATCTCTGTGATAATCGCATCACGGCAGATTAACGATCGTAATTTTTCACAAAAACGAAATATTGCCTTTGTTATTTATTGCCGCGCTTAATTTGCAGACGCGTACGTAATCGTTATTAGTAAGACAGATATTTGTGGCTATAAGAGAAGATTCTATAGATACGCTATTCGATGTAGTGGATTTTGGCAGAATTCGCGTGTAAATAGCACGGTGATGGCAGATAAATGATAATTTGCGCGTGGCACGCTTCAGAAAATAACGTCATACAATCAGTAATATTATTTTCTCTGGCTTTACAAACGAGATAAAAAAAATATTTAAAACATCTTTCCTCATATTATCAGATCGTGACACTTTTGTTCCATTATTTAATATCGATTGAGTATTATTTTTGTATGATGATTACAAGATTTGGAAATAAAAGTATATAAATTAGAATTGGAATGAAATTATATAAAGTCAATAAAATGTGTTTTCCTCCTGAAGATCTTATTATTTCACGAAAACAGTTCTCAATTATCAAATTAACATCGTCGCAATTGTAATCCTCAACATTTAAAAAGTTTTTTAATATTTCTATATATCGCTGTCTCTCTTACAAGAACATTTTTTTATGTTGCAGTAATTAAAGAATAGATTTCTCGAGATTAAGGTATCAACATGGACACCCAAAAGGCGAGGCTTGTGAACAAGCAGTTCAATTCTCCTATTAATTTATATTCGCCACAAACGATACAGGAGACTCTAGACAGGCAGGCTCAAGTTTTAGCTAACGGTGCAGTCGGGTAAGCCTTTTTATTATGTGAAAAATGCGGGAATAATTTCAACTTGTCATCTTTAGATTTAAAAAATCCTCTTCATTAATTCTCAAACAACTCGTCGTTTGTTGCAATAATTTTCCAATGACAAGTACAACATAAACTATCCTTTCCTTAATATTATTTTAATTTTGTAACACGTTATAAAAAATGTTTTATAATCATTAACTATATCAGTTAGTTTCAGAGGAAAATTATTTTCTCCTTATCTGGAAAACATTTCTCGACCTAATTCAAAAGATAACGGAGCGAACAGTGACCCCGATGCATCCTGCGGATCTTCGCGATTGACTTGAATGACTCACGATGCTTTTACCGCCGAAACCGCCCGGTGAATCTAAAACTGGTCGACGCGACCACCTTGCGTCAATCATCGAGCATCAGCCTCCTCCGCCTTGCGTTTCACGTGTCTCGCAATTGCTCGGATCGGCGGCCGATGTCGGTCGCGCGACGACGCCGCGTGAATCAGCCGACGGCGTCGATGCCGTTCGCGGTGTTAGTTATTTTCAGAGGGTCGAATCAGCGGCCGCGGTTAGAAATAAACGGCCGGAGAGGCCGGACTCTTCATCGCCGTCCTGCGCAAAGCCCGACGGCTGCATCGCGTCTCTTCGTACTTGACTTAGTTTCGCGTTTCATGAACCGTGGACGCGCCGGCTCGCCTCCGTTATCGTCATCGTCGTCTGCTATCCGCGCCGCGTCGAGATGATTACCACGAAGAGGTGACGATCATCGATTTTTACAAATTCTTAAGATCTGCAGAGAATACGAGTCTTTCCTTTCGAACCTTCTCGAAAATTAATACGTTTCTACTTTTCACAAGTTTGTGGTCCTATTCGACGACTTGGCAGCTCTTCAACTCGCGGTTTTACACGTTGGTTGTTGACAGGCGAAGAATCTTCGTTCCATTCAATGCTAACGTTCGACTTTCGCCAATGATGCATGAAACAATGGATGGTATGAGTAAAAGCGAAGCAAAAGGCAGAAGCAAAACGTTCTCTGTTACCTCTTATTATGAAAAATTGACTTTATATTTTGAAATATTGGCTTGTAAATGTCATATAAGTTCCTTTCTTTCTATGTAAAATTATAATAAACATCTCACATACATATTTATTCTTCACATACACACACACACACATATCTTTTATAAAAATAAATACTTTAGTTTCAAGTATAATATTTTAACAACTTTATCTATATTTTTTTCAAAGATTATGCTTCCTTTTATTTATACGATCCAATATAGTCGTCTATGAACACTTGCTTTGGAAAGTGAATGCAAAATTATTTAGAAAATTGAATATTTATAGAACGTTCGAAATAATTAATAAAGCAAGCTTGAACAGAGGATTCTTCTTCTTCCAGAATCGACTTCAACCAGTTGGCCAAGCCAACTAACTTGCAAAATAGCGCGGTTTTACGTATGCTCGAAGAAGAAGAAGCAAGGCAGCGCGGTGGTCAACCCAGTAAGTAAAGAAACGTTTCTTAAAAGTGAGATTATGTATCCCTTGAAGTATAATTTAAGATTGTTTTACACCATAATATAATGTAAAACAATCTAATAGTGTAAAACATCATAATACTTTTCAAAATATCTACATTTTGATACCGAGATATTAAGTCCAAGTTTACATTTGCTTGTTCGAATAAATTTAATTACTGTTTAATTCGTGGCACACTAAGATTTATTGCTGCATCATCGCATAACAATTGCGATGATTCATAATAATGCAAATATCGCGAATATCGGTTGCGAATCAGTGATCGATCACTGGCGACATCAGTTTTTTTAAATTAATGTCGGTATCGTTGGCAACATATTTTCAATTTAGCATGAGCATGACAGCCGTTACTCTTGTTATACCGTACGCTTTGGCCGCGACTCAAAGACGCATCATCGGATTAGTAACACATTTTCGCAAAACACACGAGTCTTTCAGCGCGCAAACACCGAGCGTTATATTCGAGAAAGGCGTCCTTGTGGATACATCACATTAATTTCTTCCTAAAAATCTTCGATTAGGAGAAAGAAATTCCTTATTCTCAAGCATGTTTTTGAGATTTTGCTCAATCCGCGATGATCAAGAGCTGCGCTAATTTTACTGCTTTAATGACCATCAAAAAGAAACATTAATGAAAAGTTAATTTTTAAAAAGCGTATATTATAATATTTTGTAATAAAAAATGTTTGTGGTATATACATTTGTCATCCTAATCCTATAGAATTTCTTATGACAGGCAGTGTTTAAAAAGTAATATGGATTATCGTTGAGATAAATCTGGATCTTTCGATTTATTGTAAGATCATTGAGATATACATCGAGATATATAGAGATCCCTCGAACTCTTTACATGGCCCTCTTCTAGGGCGCGGGCTACCCCTCCTTGATCGGGCACAATGTCGATCCTCCCCACTCCTTGGCCGGTCACCAGAAAAGCTCTAAAATCGGTAGCCAGCAAGTTTCCGCGATAATGAAAGGTACAGGTGACTTCGCCATGGCGTTAGTAGTTGGCGGGTGTCCGTTTTGGCAGAGTCGCGCTCGTCTTCGCGATTCCGGAACTAAACTAGCAAATTCCACCTGAGAATCGAATCGGTATGTGACGTTTAAAATCCAGGCGAGTTTTATTAGTTGCCAGGAAGTATATTCGCACACTTTACGCGATTAACGACGCGCGACCCCCCATATGGGTGTCGTAATACTTGCCCGTTGCGACACACTCGCGGTGTGGTCCAATCGATGTGTAAGAGCTGCCTAACATTAGAATTATACGTCATTAAGTATTATCCCGGATAAAATGGTAAATGTTGACAGAAAAGTCATGTAATAATATCGCTGCGATTATCGACAATCGTCATGCAGTGTGATAAACGTTAGATTAAGTGCGTCGATAAGAATTGGCGATAGTTTACGGTAATGATATAATCATTATATATATGACAGTAATATAACAATTATGAGAATGATGATCACACTTAAGTGGATATAATTCGACATTAGTGATTAACAATATTAGTGACAGATAAATGACATAATTTTTTGCTATCAATTGAAATCAATTATATTTTACAACACCTTAGATAATTTAGTAATATTATAAAATAAAATTATATGTGGATATCTCTCGGGAGACTTACGAAAAATAAACGTCGATGCCAAAGAGAATATTCGAATATTTATATTAATCTACAAAGACGTCAGTATCTAAAAATACTATGCTACTACTTTCATTATTTCGAAAACTGTCCAAGATTAAAGAGTAATTTTTTTCTTAAAAAAATATTATTTGGTTAAATCATTAAGTTAATTTATTAATTTATTAAAATAGTTGTACGTCATAATCGTAAAAACGGAATAAAAACTAGATAACGGCCTTTGGCTCTGCAAATTTCTATTATTATCGTTTCTTAGGTCTCAAACGAGTAGCTTGGCCACCGCCTCCAGAGGATCAAGACTTCGACTACGTGGAGCAAACTCCCATTCAAGCGAAGGTAAGATGATAAATAATTAGATATTACTTACAGACTTACACAGGTATATTTCTTCCTTCTATAGATATTAGAGTTTCTACGCGTTTCGCGCGTACGCTGCTCTGATAACATAAAAGGCAGTAATAAACGATTAAGATTGATTCTTAAATTCACTATCTTTTCTTTATATTGCAAAATTAATATATTTAAAGAAATAAAAAAGTTAAAAAAAGATAAAATATTAATGAGAAAAATTGTAAGAAAAATTAACTCTATTATTATAACGTATTATTTACAGTAAAACAATATATTCACATAAAATAATTTTTAACACAATTTTCGCTATCTTTTTTCTCGTGTAACAACACTTATTATTTTATACAAAACAGACAAATATAATCGTGCAAAAAATTCGAATGCAAGTTACTTTAAAAAGATCCGAAAAGACACGGACACTTTGTGGGAATGTCTACATGTTGCCTGCATTTTTTTTCGTAATATTATTTATGTCCAATTAGTACAATAGCTCCTCCTGCATCTTGCCATGCGTGTAGAGTGAATGCAACAATGTTCGTTACATGTTTCTTTTATGTACTGTTCACGTTCGTTCTCTGTATGTATGCATATCAGTTTTATTTTACTCGAAGCTGAGATGGAGAAAGTACAATATATATACATATAATATACAAAATTTTACAAGATTTTGAATTAAGCTATCAAATTTGATTGATAAAGTGGGAATAAATTTTAATTTTTAAATAATTTTTCTTAATTTTAATATATATTGCCATAATTAAGCATCAAATTAAAATTTTATTATAATATAATTGTGAAATTAAGTAAATTAAATTTTATGTCAGATTTTAACATCATAAATTATGAATATCTCCCATCATATCTTAAATAGATAGAGAAATTACATCAATCTAAAGTGTTGTTCTCCATCTCTAATTCCATCAATTAATTGGTGCACGCAGTGAATATCGATATCGTTAGAAAAATGAGAATACGAAGACATCCCATCCAATATCAACATAAGCACAGCTGGATCACACTCTTAAATACGCGAATTGCCACATCATTGTGATCGTCGAGACAGACTCATTTGCCGGAAACCAAAAAGAAAAAAAAAGAAAATTTTTGTTAAATTGGTGCACAATTGTTTTGATAAAGCAAATGATGCTTGGCTCGAGCGAATCGTGGTCAAATTACAAGTTGTATTAATTTAAATAATCGTTTTATACACAATATATTTATAATTATATAATTATTTAAAAAATCGCGCTTGTATTTCTTTTAGGTCGATTACAAATATTTTTACACAGTATTTTCAATCTTCAGATCTAAACTTTTATAGAATATCAACTTAATGCACTTTATTCAAATTAGTTACTATATATTTAGAAAACAATTAGAAAAAATGATTAAATAATTAATATTTTTAGAGGATTCAAAGTGTCTGTATAAGTAAATTTTTATATTGTATTTGGAAATGAAAATGCGCGAAATGATAATAAAATCGATGCGGCTTAAAAGTTAAATTAGACACAGTGAAGGATTTCCTCTCATAAACTGCGCTTCCGCGGACGTATATTGTCTCGCAGATTCTCGTACACAAAAACATACATTATTCCTCTCTTTGTCGAGAAGAGATGCCAGGCTAATCCGCGTGTTCGCTCGAGCCTGAACAAAATTATCTGTTTTCCTCCGGTAAGACCCGTGGGTACGGTGATCTCGGCTCGTACCAGAGCAGTCCCACGTCAGGTCCGTCACCCCAACCATCCTCAGCGGTCACACCGCAGAGAGCCGTCCCGTCGTCCCCGTCGCCGGTCAGTCCTGGCGGTACGCTTCTGCGACAACCATCGCACTTTCAACAGCAACAGACGAATCCCAAGAGTTGGGCGCCGGTGACACCCCCGGCGACCTCGCCGCTTCCGCATCAGCAGCATCCTTCGTTTCCGAGTCAGCATCAACAGTCCCAGCCTTGGCAGGTAAGTGATGTTCGCATGGACGTGACTGACGTGGTCCTCCGCAATTTTGGAAGAGCCGGGAATAGTTTCCGGTAAGAGAAACTGTGCGATGACATTGCGAGCACTTGCAGTCTTGGATGTGAGAGAAAAAACATCGCGAAATACAACAGTTACGTACAATTCAGATTCGGGAACGACGTATCGTAAGAGATGTTTTTAGCGAAGATTTACAAGATACTGCAACTGGTATAGATATTTTTGCGTGGGTATGATAGACGATGTTCCAATGCGACAGTGTGCGACGAAACTTACTGGTTTATCCTCTCTGCATTTCAGCAACACCCCCAGGATCCCAACGACCGGACACCGCAGAGGCAGCAACAGAATCAATCCAGTTATCATCCACCTATTCCTGCGGCGTTCGAGGCACCACCCTCCACTATCGTCCTTCGTCCTGAGCCGCCTATCTCACAGGTAAGAATCTAGGGGGAGGGGGGCGAGAATTTGAAGAATTTAACATTTGTGCCAAGTAAATAATATACTCTAATAATTCTCTGAATATAATATAATAATAATTCTTTAAAAATACAAATTTATTACATTTTTATTTCATTATTTTTTTCTCATACAAACATTATAACAATATATTTTCGCGATTTAATACGATATACGTATCCTATATTTTTTACTCGATGATTTGCATGCTTCATGCAAAATATAATGAAATAATATAAGTTTAAATTAATTCAGTTATTATATATGAGTCAAACATTTTATATTACATTGCGAGAATTCGACAATACGTGTTGATAAACATTCGATATTATGTTACACATCTCCCACACGATTTTAATCTTACTAAAAATAATGCAGTAATATTATACGCGCCTTCTCAAACAACGAAAACAGAATACGAAAACATGAAAGCTCCGAAGAAACGAGAGAAGTAAAGTACACGCGAGCTGTCGGATGGAGTGATATGATATAATATTTTTGCGGAAGCCTTACACTAGCGAGCCTTTGGCAGCACATCAGCCGTTAAATATTTCGGGCGTTCTTAATATCGATTACACATTGCTCGTCTGAAATTTATCTCTAAGAATATCTCGCATCCCTAGCTGTTCCTATAATTCGAGAGTCGACTTCAAAGAAGAATAATATTTTCCGCATCACTAACAGAAATGTTCTTCTTTTAGATATTTCCGCGAGATTTCTAGTATCTTATCCTAAGAATCATATGTTTTAAAAATAAATGTAAATATAAAAATAAATGTATTGTATTAAGTCTTTTTCAATCGAGAGATTGAACATTTTTAAACAAAACATTCAAACTATTAACAGCTGTACATTGTGGTTTCATAAACATTTATTCAACATTCCGTCGTTGTTTTATTGATCGAGTCTCTCTGATTTTAATCTCCAGACACCAGCACCGGTGTACCAGGCCCAACCTGCAGCGACCAAAGCTCCGGCAACAGGCAACATGCGAGGGGACTTGAAGTGGCCGCCGGCATCCGTGAAGGCTCAGGTCGAGGCGGAAAACCGGGCCAGGATAGATCTCACGAAAGGCCCGGTTTTCAGGCCCCGTCGAGTGAACAAGGACTATAGCGGTTTCTTCGCGCAGCACGCTCTGAACAATAGCTATCCGGGCTACCGAGCACCGCCGGGTACCCAGTACTTTACACCGGCTTACCAACATTAGCAAATATTTCGTTTTGAGAAACGGGCACGAAGCATCGTCTTGAGTTTTTCGTCGAACGGGACCGAGTGTTCCGATTAGGTGTTTTCGAAGTTGCCGAGATGCTCAGGACGCTGTTCATGGATCTTCAGAGATTCGCGAGAAATCAGAGAAGCGCATGAAGAACGACTTAAAGTCTTAAAAAGACAAGCGTGAAAGATTTTTATCGCGAAATTGTGTTTTACGATGTTGCTTTTTCTTTTATATTTGGGCCACAAATCTGCGCACAAGTTACTGTGCTGTTACTCTTTCAGAATGTGGTCTAGATACTAAGAAATCTCGCTTCCATATAACGCTTCGTGCGCTTCTCGGTTTTCAAGAAAAATATCCAATCCGGATTTCGAATTTGTACGAATCTGTATATACTGAGACTGATTCTCGGTTTTCTTTCATCTTTTCAGGATAGCGTAAATTAATAATTACTATATAAAAATCCAATTTATATTTTACGGCATATTCGGTTTATTATCCGGACATCACCATTCAAAGATTTCCAGACTCATGAATGTCGCGTTTTCTTTTCTTAATCCGTGTATCGAAAAAGAGTAGAAGTCTTTAAATATACCTATATTTTCATCGAAAAATGAGGATAATTTAATAATATTCTATGTCTTTTCTCTTTCGCGCAGGGTTGTTTTTTATTTTTTTCCACAATTTAGAAATTTTTGCTTGCGTGAACGCGTCTCCAGTTTGGAAATTTCTGATCTAAATGAATTCAATGTTGTGATAGAATTAATGCTGCAAATAGATTTACAAAACTAACGCTTGTCATACGAATCAAAGAAGTGACAGATCAAAAGCGATCGCTTAAAATATTTCGAGTGATAGCGGCAGATTGTATTTTTATTGCAAAGATAATACGACGATACAGAAAATATAAAATAACGAACGTCGAATATAGACAAATTTACGAAATAAACGATCGAATGAAGAGAAAAACACGCGAAAGGAGAGATAACGTATTGAAAAGTATCATCTATACTAAAACGCGATATGTTTTATAACACAATTTAGCGCGATAGTCTGCCCGTTAACTAACCGATGAATCATTTTTAATAATGTAATATATCGATGTGAATAAATAAATATCAATTTATGCTAGACAAAAGTGCCGATAGCTACTATATTGTAATATGATATAATACAGTGTGTACATATCAAACTTTGTAAAATTTACATAATGAACTTTGAAAACAATGGATATATAACGATAAATATTTTTATTTTTTTGTTTGCTTCATAGATAATACAAGGAACGCATCTAAGTATCAACACAATTTACAAAATATTTCATATGCGTTCATATGAAATTTCACCAAAAAATACAGTTCGAATATGTGTTGTATTATTCGAATTGTCTAAATCTTGCCCACCAAAAAAATGCATCGTAAAAAATAAACCTAAAAAATATATTCTGATGATTATAAATAAAGATTTCTCCTTCAGCGGTGCATAAACTATTTTAATGCAAACGTCATACGGAATTGCATTGTTAACTTTATCCGCGTTTTTATTATTTTTTTCTTTTTTTAATACATCTTAAATATTTACGTGTTTACACAACAAGCTCGAAAATACACTCTCAAATGAGCAACGTGCTGGCGGATATTAAATATTAGAGTTCTTGAAAAGTTGTGAAACTTGTCTGTGTGCTTGTCGCGTTAAAAAAGTTCTCATTAAACTGCTAAGCGACATTCCCTGAGTATCGTGTCCCTTTTTGACTCAAATACATTCAAGCGTATTTATAAATTAATAACTCACGTTTCTCTTCGCAATTAACTGTCGACTTCCTAACAAGTTATATATTAAAAATCTTGTGTAATATCGATAGATTTCCGTATGCAAGCAAAACGTAATTGTTTTATTACTTACTGTAATTTTTACACCAAATTTAACGAAATTTGATCAGTTCCATTATCATACTTTCTATTGATATTAATGGTTTGATAAACTAAAAAACAATATCGATATAATTCAACTAATATAAGTCGAATTTTTATTTGAGCAAAAGGTTTAAAAATTTAGTTTTATTTTTCATAACTTGTTTACTTCATAACTCATCGAAGAGTTATTATCACAATAGAAAATTGTTCCCCAGATTACAATCTTGTATATATTTTCTCGATTTTGTTATGTACTGGGGTACATTATATTATATCATTGACCATTGAGTTTAGGCATGTACTATGGCATGACAAAAATATAGAATTCATTTTTAATGATCTTCAATTAGACATCAAAGAAAGATCAACAGATTGACTAATTCTATGCACCATCAACACAATTATGCGAGGAACTCGTTATTCTCCATGAAAATTTCATTTTTGTCAAACTTATAAAATTGGATATAATTTCGTATGCAAATAGAGAGTTAACAATTGTACAATTACAAAAGTCATGAAAAAGGCTTTATATCGTGGATTTTCATTTTTACACGAGCGAAAATCCTTGATTATGTTGGATAGCTTGCAGTAATTTATATTTCAATCTTTCGCGCGTTTGATAACGTGGCAAATCGAGCAGATTGAAGCACGTGTGCGCGGCAGGCAAGAAACGTTCGTCGGTCATCGGCTGTATCGTTATCTGCAACAAAAATAAATATCATAATATGATAAATTAATTTTTGATGTACAAAGATTCTATAGCTATATATCGATATGATATCATTCTTACCTTAATAGCTTTCATACCCTGTATAGGTATTCTGTCACTGCCTGTTAAGAAAAGTAAAAATTTCTTCTTCTCCTCTAATGGCAACTCATGAAAAACCTGCCAGAAGAGCACGATAGTGGGGTCGTTTTTGGTATAGCCCTCCTTATAAGTGGCATTCTTCTGTAATTCCTCCCAATCATAGTTTTGATTGCCAATTACCAGTGACATCAATTCGTGACTGTGAAAGAGCTCTAACACCCTTCCTCCACATACCTTATGGAAACCCTTATGAAATGCTTTAAATTGCGATTCTACCGATTTGTTCAGTATATAGTCCACATAGAGATTCACGTACTGTTGCCTACATAGACAAAAATATTAATCTTTCATACTTTTATGGACATTATCAGTGATGATATGTGGATAAAGCTTACGTACTTATTTTTTAATGTTACAGAAACTTTGCTACCACCAGGTAGCAAATCGAAACTTTTCTGCTCACCGAATACTTCTCTAGTTATTTCGAAATTCAAACAGAATACTTCCTCAAAGTCTGGTTCATTGTAATCGAGAATACTCTGCATACTTCTGCAATTAAAAACGCGTATACTCGTTAATAGTTTGTTAATTCATCTAGAATCAATGATCTTGGAACGAATGTCAATGTCAATGGAATATGACATACTTGGCCATTACGGGTGACATATCCTTGATATCATTTAGTCCAACCGATTCACCCAATAGCTTCTTATATAAGGCCAGTGGAAATGGTAAGTCGATGATTATGAAATTGTAAATAGCCAGGCCACAGAGTAGGCCGATCAAGAAATACATAATTTCATCCTCCAATGTGTCCGAGCTAAACCAGATTGTCCTCGTCTCTTCATATTCTTTAAACATACCATACTTAGGATCGAGAATCTCTCGCAAAAGAAGCATGAAAAATTCTTTTTTTACACCACCTACGTCTTCGGCTTCCTCGCCGTGAAATTTAACCTGAAAGAATTCGAATACAATCATGCAGATATATGTACTATATGTATAAGGTTTTAGAATCTTCAGGTCAAAATCTTTTGATCCTTGAAAGATTATTATTTATTATTTTGATTAATTATTTGATTAGAGAATGATACTCACTCTAAGTGGTTTCTTCAACTCACTAGAATCATACTGAGACAACTGCGTCAGAGTATCTTTGACTATATCGTTCCGCGACACGTTCAACATCACAAATTGATTATAATGCTGAGAATTTACATTAGCCAAACCAAACATCATATCTCTTACAACCCGTGATGCTGCTTCATGCATTGCGGATTGCATCTAATATAAACACAACATATTGTAAAATACAATTATTTCTTAACAATTTGTATTATTTTTTATACCTGTATGGCTTGATCTGTTTCGAGTAATGTGGTTTTTGCTTCAGCATCGAATAGAAAAGGATAATTGCAAAAGTATATTTTACGGTACTGAAAAATTGCAAGAATTATAATGTGCAGCAATATATTCATATTGCTTCCTTATAATTTCCTCTATATATGTAAATTAAGGAACTCACTATGACAGTTTAGAGATGACTTACATAAGACCGATCCTCTTCGGACATCCACATGAGGTAATCACGGTTGATATCTATATGTTGCGATAATTCTGGCAAATGAAATGTCTCGTAGGGTACTCTTATACCAGCTGCTATATTTAGCCTATATAGTAATTGTAACAGCTCTAGGAGAACTTTTAGATTTTCATTCCACAAAACAATCTACAAAAAATACATGCTCTAAAGTATTATAACCGTATGTATAAGATCTCTCTCTCTCCCTCTCTCTCTCTCTCTCTCTCTAAAAAATTTCGAATTTTCATTATATATTTTATTTTTTGTAATACTAATTTTTTCTTTTGCAGTAAAAAGAAGTAAAAGTACTGCCAATAGAAGTATCAGTTTGATTGCGTTTACGTTAAACGTATGATTTTGAAAAGAGCTATCTATGCTATGGGAAAACTCTTGAAAATCTCAAAACAATCTTTGATATTTTCTGCATATATCGTCATTCGCTCTATTTCTACATGTACTTACCTTTTCCACTGTTGATTGCTCCACAATGTGCAACACGGTGGATTTGTAAATCCTCACTAGTCTCTCGAAGTAGTATGCCGAGGCACATGTGCTCCACCATATGCTCACAATTCTATAAGCCTCCGCTTTTAGTTTTAACACAGCTTTGCAGAATGGTATCTGTAAAGAGCTGTAATTTGATTGATTTGTAAAGCGATGATATAGTGGTAACGTTATGTACACTCTCAAGGATTCAACATCGAGCGGAGAATCGGTGAACGATGGTATTAGACTATCGGTTATACATGTAAAAATCTGAAATAAGAGAATACGATGTTGTTATTCAATATTATTCAATATTCTAAGTATATTTTGTACATCATACATCTTAAATCGTACCAATTCTTGAATTGTATTGTTCTCCAATTCTGAGATAATTCCGAATAATCTAATCGCGCGGTCAAGATCAATCCCATGATGTTTGCTCGAACAACCATAATGCTTATCATTAGCAAGTAAAAAAGATGCATTTATACACGCTTGACTTGTGAATACAGTTTCTAGATAACTGAAAACATTGGATAAATAATTGAAATCCATATAAGTGAAGCTGTGGCACAAGTCATTTAGATCAGAGTTGTGTAATCTAATATCACGCGTGAGTAAAGAAAAAATGCAAGCGAATGTTTTGCTCAGATGTATAGTTTGATATTTCTTTAGATCACACAACTTTTCTTAATTAAAATATAATACATTTCACTCACGTCATTAATTCATGATTAACTTGCGAGACTGCTGGGACCCTTTGACAGTCAGCTAGTTTTTCTTCTGTCACTGTAAGAATTTGGGAGGTTGACCCTAATATTCTACAGTCATCTGGTTCTATATTATCCTGTAGATATTTAAGCAGAAGTAATTTCCCGTCTATTATTATTACAGAAACGAGGCGAGATTAAATATTTTACTGCATGTTCCATTTTTTTCTTTTTTTTATAAAAATCAGAAAATAAAAGATAGCTAATTTAAACTTGAAAGTTTGGAAGGAATAAATTAATAAAAAGCTGTGTATGTGTGAGAGAGAGAGAGAGAGAGAGAGAGAGAGAGAGAGAAAACACAAGTGAGATGAGAAAACACACACTTCTCTTGGGGTAATTGTGGCAAAACAATGATCAGCGCCGCTGAAAATGTGTCTAACGACACAATCGATTTGTGAACTACAGTACAGATCCAACTTCATCGATGATCCGTTCGCCGAAGACCACGGTCCCAGCACGACTTGCGGCGTTGTGGCACTTCGTGAGGCGCGATTACCTAATTGTCCAGCACCACCTAGACCCCACGCATAAACTCTACCTCTAGATGGTACTAAGGCCAGTGTGTGTCTTTTGCCACAGGATATCTACATAATGTAATATATATATATAGAATATTATATATAATATAAATTATATAATTAAGATTAATATAATACATACACATTTAATCGAACAAGAAATTATAATCCAATATTATATTTATAAGTTATAACTTACTTGTGTTACTGTGCTACCCATCAATTCCATAACTTGTCGCGGTAAGATTTCATTCATACCGTTTCCATGACCTAATTGACCATACATTCCAGCACCGCAAGTAAACACTCCACCATCCTGAAATAATCACAGACAATAAGATACCATTGGGATCCATTAATTTTCGAAATACAATATTACGTGATGATAAAATTTACCAATGTCAAGAATACAGTGAATTCCTCACCACATGCTGCATAACATACTTTTGCGTTTCTTAAAGTACGTAGCTGGCACGGCACAGTTCTCTGTTCTGTATCATTTAGCCCCAATTGTCCAAAAGTATTTCGCCCCCATGCAAATACAACTCCTATTCGAGAAAACAATGAATATAATCAACATTATGTTGATGCGTTTAAACAAACATCGAAATCGAATGATACCGAAAGATTCGATTCTTCAATAATATGCCAATGTAATAGAAACTCACCTGATTTTGATATAACTACAGTATGATATCCTCCGCATGCGATAAATGCAATTGGTACAGCAGCTAAAGCAAAAATCCTTTTCGGTTTTATTTCGGTAACTGTGTGGGATCCTATTCCTAGTTGTCCCTCTGTATTACTACCCCACGCATACAACTCTCCGTCATTGGTCAGAGCAATCGAATGCTCTATGCCACATGCAATCTGCACTATCATGCTTGTACCCAATGCTTTTACCATACGTGGTGTACGTTCTGTACAATCAACACTATTTAACCCTGTGGAACAATAAATAAATAACAATTATTAGATTTATAACTATAATTTAGAGGAAAAGTGTCATTAGAAATGTTATTTTAACATATTAATATACAAAATTGTAAATAAATATATTACCTAGTTGACCCTTCATATTACAACCCCAACTAAAAAGTTGTCCCCATTCGTTCACAGCCACAGTATGACAACTGCCACAAGCTATTTTCTTGAATACAAATGCATCCAGGCCAGGTATCAGTTCTATTTTAGCAAAAATTAATACAAAACTGTACGATCTCTGACAAATATCACTAGCTCACATATTTAATTGGAAATTTTTATCTTTAAAAATTACTTACGCAATCTTTTCCTTGCCTTTTCATGACCAAGTTGTCCATAATCGTTATTACCACAGGAATACACTTGTCCATCATTTGTAATGGCTACAGTATAATTTTCTCCACATGCAACTAAAATTTTAATTTTTGCTGATATTTTCTTGTAACCAAAATTTTATCCTTATACAATTTTTCGAGGATCTTACTTTGTTCAACTTCATTAGCTTTTGCAAAATCCACTTGCCGAGGCATAAAAATATTCTCGTCCTCAATACCACCCAATCCCAACTCTCCATGTATAGTACTGCCCCAACAAAACATTCTCTTGCAAATTTTGAATCGTTTTGCTGCTAAATTACTTTCATCCGTTGAATATCTTTTCAACTGATTTGCCTACAGTAACAGATATATATTCCAAATTAATATACATTATTAAATTTGCATTAAAAAAATGTCCACGTATAATACCAAATATTATATATTTATTAATCATTTAGTTGACAAAACATCAAATCAATTACAAGGTAATGTTGGAGCATATTCATTATTGTTTATTTATTTATTATTAGTAGGGAAAAACTTTTTCAAATTGAAATAAATTAAATTTTTATGTTTATTAATAGATATATACATCTTAATATTTATATATTTTATATGAATCCATTAAATATTAAGATGTTTTATGCCCCTTAATTTTTTAATACTGTGTAGTATTATACATGCCAATAAGCATTTATTTATGTAAATTTTTCTTAATACTTGGTTTCATCAAAGAATGAATAATTCGTTCATAGAATATATATATACACTCATTTTTATTTTTTAGTCCGTAATGTAATATATATAAACATATCAATATAATATGTTTTATTGTCACTCTCTCTCAAATCTGTCTCTTAAGACAAATTAATTAATAAAAATCACTAATGTTTCTCTTTGAGTTAATAACACGAGGCACAATTAAACATCATAACGTCACTTTACGAACGAATGATCCGTAGGTGAAACCGAGCATACCTAAAAAGAGGATACTATGTAACATTACGCCGGGAAAAGAATCGCGCGTGTCAGTGACTAACCATATTTATCTGTATCTCTCATAAAAATGTCAGGCTTGCGGGCGGAACGTGTTATTTACGTGAAACGCGTGGTACGTCCTAAAAATAATATTCCTTTGTAGCGACAACTCTCCTTCGTACTGTCCCGACAGGGGCTCGCGATCGCCTCGGGGGTCGGGGATAAATCAAATTGTGACGGCCACGAGGATGCGGCGACGTTTATCGCTATTTGCACGTCGCATCGTGAACGTGAATCTTATCCGCGGAAATCATAAAATTTCTGACTCCAAATTCCAAATCGAAGATTTTTACGTGCGCGAGACGCGTTTTTATCTCGCGCGTATTTATATATATATATATATTGTGAGTAAAATATAACGGAAGAAAAAATTTTGGGTTTGTGCCGACGAGCTCAGACGCTTGGTGCAATTGAGAGGTTAATCCGAATACTTTCACAAACAGCTATTTAGGTTGTCACTCGAAGATTCTAGAATAAATTTTCTCTTACGCCATAATACCCAAAAAAAAGAAATTTATCGGATTTTTATGATATATCTAAAAAATAAATAAAAGATGAGACGAGTGATCGTTTTTTGAGGACAGATTCCTTTTGAAACATGATGTAAACTGTAAACGAATGATTTCATATCATAGTGAATTGGATTGTTCGCGATCATTCGTGGTTCTAGAACGAGGAATGACACTGCGCGAACATCGTGACGTCGAGTGCGAGGAGTCACGTTATTTTTGACAAATAACGATTTCTTCCCTCGTTTTTTTTTTTTTTTAACGAAATCGAATCTTCTAATACCGTAGCCGCGAGATACGATCCGTTACATTCTTTAGTCGAAAGTTAATTATTCAAAAATATAAATTACGCGATAGAAAAAGAAAGGACATATGTCATCAAAATTCGAATTATATATCTGAATATTTCATCTGTATATCTCTTTCCAAGTAAGACTACAGTGTAGATAAAGATAACGAATCACTGACTCGAAGTTGGCCGGATTTGAATTATAATACCTGAGCTCTCCTCCGCGATACTGATGGTTAGGTTGTCATGTTCCCAGTGTCCCCACACGACAACCAACTCGACGTTTCGTTAAACGACGACGACTCAACGGCAACACGCGCGAGCGAGATGAAAGGAATCGGAGGAACGCGATGTCTCCGCCGTAGCATAACGCGAAGGAACAGAGAGTGCGTAATTGGATTCCTTCATTAAAATCTCATTACGGTTAGGCACTACGTTGCGCTGCTTCACTTACATATTCGGTCGTTGTTTTTTAATCTCGTCGAAAGCAGACTGACACAATTGAATCAGTCGCGGCGAGTGCATGTGACATTGTATATTTATTTTCTTTTCTAACGATCAGACATAACGCGCGCTTAATCCGGCATATGGATACAGACACTGTAGGGGGGAGCATAATTATATTATTTAAATAAAATAAAATTGACTAAATAAAATTGAATTCTGTTTCGCTTTTCAGAGAACAATGGATACATGACGCAAATAAGTTAATTATCGCGTCACATGCGCATCAGTTATTAAAAGAATATATAATTAGATAAGAAATAGCAATAGATGAAACACATGTCTTTTTTCAAAAGATCGTCTGAGTCACATCAGGAGGATATATTTCGGAAAAAGGTAACGTGTGAACTACAATTTCGATTCGAATATCTATATATATTTTATTATATAATGTAATTAAAAATAGAGAGAAATATAAACTATAAATTGAAGAATTTAAATGATTAAAGCATGTGCCGCGTCAGACCGTGGTGGGGAGAGAAAAGGTTTGTAGAAAGGGAAAATATAACTATGAAAAGATATACGTGGATACATAAACATATCAGTCATAAACAGTAAACAATACGTGCCGCACGCAACTGTCAACTATCAACATCGTGTTATACATACGCACACGTATATTTTAGATGTTCAAATTTTGTCTCTTGCGAATCGAAAAATTCACATTAGTGTACTGTTCAATGAATGCATGCGAAAGTGAGCGTATGTGTTTTTTTACGCGACATAATCGAATATTAGTCTCTTGTCCGAATTATTTTATTTTTCAAAAGCATTTATCCGCGCGTTTACATACATGTGACATGTGCGTTCGTGATTGAATTGAAGACAAATTAGCTTGAATCAAAAGCGATAATAATAACGCGAGTTATTCGCACTATTATTATTATCCGCGGCGTGGAAAAACAATGCGGCGCGTCTTGATAGCGCGCATGATTCGTGCTCGATCGCCTCTTTCGAGCGATAATATATCGCGAGTTATCCGTCCTATGTGTATTATTACTTCCACGGCGGGAAAGCGAGCGACGCATACGCTGCGCGAGCGCGCGCAGCCCGTCTTTCGTAACGCGCATGATTCGTGCTCGTCTCTCTCTCTCTCCCACTCTGCCCCCACCACTTCGCGGCGACAGATCGAGCGGGCGGGCGGCGGCGGCCATATTATCAGTGAGGTGTCAGTATTTTCCGAACGTGACGGGATTTTTGGGTGTGGATCGTGCGATTTCCTGTTTCGCTGGCCGTGTCGCGAGGTAATAGTGCGAGTGCCAGGTGGACCGTCGTGAATGTAGTGCGGCACACGTGTCACGGGATCCTCGGGTGCGTGCAAACAGAATCAGGTATGTAAAGTGCGTCTCGTCTCGTCCTGTCTCGTTTCGTTTCGTTTCGTTTCGTTTCGTTACGTTCCGCTCGTGTCGGTCGATCGGCGGTTCGGTTTCACGCTCGCCCTTGTCGTCGTGGTAGCTTTGTGTCGCGGCGATTCACTCGCGAAGAGAATCGCCGCGGCCGGCGATCGGTGACGAGATGAAAGAGGCCCCCGTCCTCTGCCATCGCGCCACCGGCATCCGCGATAGTGCGCCGATTGTCGATCTTCTCTGACCGATAACTATGTCGATTTTATCGTTTCTAACTGTATTTAATTACGCCTCTTTTCTTTCGAGATGTATATACAATATGAAATTTAGTACGCGATCCGGAAAAAAATAAAAAATTGAGTAGCAATTACAAATGTGTATGTCTAATTATATAGCGAGACATCGAGATTGAGCTAACCGCGTTTACAGTTTTTTTTATATGTTTATTATGTATATAGAGTAGAGCTTAGAGCGCGTGATTTGCGCTGGAGAGAATGAAAAATATGTGAAGTTTGTCGCGAAACTAGTTCAATTATATATTGACGTGTCTCTATGTTATGTACACACACACACACACAAATCTAAAATCTGTATGTAATTTGATTTTCTTCCTTTATGAATCACGTTTACCAACGTTGATTAAGCTTTATTGCAACTTGAATAATTCTTTTTCTTTTTATAAAGCATAGTATTGACTACAATGTATATTAATATATATATATATATATATATATATATATATTCAACAAATATTAATGATACCCTTAATGTTAATGAAAATGGCGATACTGTAATTAGGACATCTCTAATTATTAAATTTGTAAAAGGACAAAAAAGAATATTTCTCATAAAGATCGTTCTAGCTGTAGTATCGAAACTCATATTTATCCAATGCAGTGATTAACATTTGGCAATGGGACCTAAATTTTCTAGAAGATATTATTAGAATATTGCTGCTATAAATTCTATATGTAACAGACAATATTCTAACAGATACAAAAAATAGCGATAAATTTTTGTTGTGACACCTAGAAATCTACCTATATCAGCAAGACATTTTTTCGAATGTATTGACTAAGCGAAACTCATTCGATTAATAAATCGCGTAATAAGGGTGTTTTATATTTTATAGTAGCAGCACACATACAATACAGGAGAAGTTAGGAGAATGTAAATTAATTAATCAAAGCGATTATTACTTATATCAATAAAAAATCCAATCTTGACTACATTTTCTTTCTTTATATTATTATCAAGAATGATTTTAAAAAGATAGGAGAAGAATAAATTAATTAATTCGATATTTAATACAGTGTACGCGTATATTTTTCATTCTTTATTCACACAATATTCTAAATTTACCGATGTATATAGATATAGATAGATTGAGATAAATATTTTGGTACAAATATTTTGATTTTCCGCGAACATGGTGAGCTTTAAATAAATAACAAAGCACATTCTTTCATTAATTTTCAATGTTCCGTATTGAGATTTAATTTTACTCGTATATTTTGACAAAGATATCGGTTGCAAAAATATATAATTTAGAAAACTGGTAAATGGTGAATGAAATGAGTCGATTTCAAGTTTTTCGAGGAATTTGTCATTAAAATGAAGGTCATTGGTTGTGAGGTATATAATACGTTTAAAATCACAAGCTATCCAATCAAAGTCGACAACTCGACGCGTCGATGTTTTTCAACGATAGATATTTTCTATTCTTATCTATATCTAATTAAAATTATACACATACAAACACACATACACGATTGAAAAGAAAAGGATGAAAGATCGGTTGGCAATCGGCTATTTATCCATGCTTGTCGGCTCCCTATTCATCCTTGGCCATTTTGTATTCGGCTTCTTTAACCTCTTGCTAAACCGTAACCAGAGGTTACGTTGCACTACGGTATTTCGTTCGCCTATACCCTGCGGCATTTTTCAACTCGTCGAAAGATTCTTGTCGAGAGATCCTTGGATGCTTCTCACCCACGTGTAGCGTGGCCGACTTTTATCCCATGTTTACGTCAATTGAGATCATTATAAGTAACATGGTTTTCAATTTTTTTGAAAAAAAGGCTCGAAGAATAACAAAGATATTGGTGAATACGTGTACTATGGATTTTACTTTTTTTTTTACACGAAGAATTCTGTTATATTAATTTTGACCATGTGCCATATTAGTTTACGCCTAATTATTTAAATTATATTTAGTTGGCTCGAATCTATATATATAGAAACTTTACTTTTTGAGAAGAATAAGAGACAAATACACACTAATGTATACTATAAAAAATATTACATAGTTACATGAGTAGAAAATTGTATAATAAATAATAGGAATGCTACATATAAGACTTAACAAGTTTGAAAAATATACCTTTGTATAAACATATTACTTGATAAAAATATTTATTGATCGGAAGTCAGCTGTATTTAAAATTTAAACTTTAAATATTATTTAATTTATATATTTTTGCAATGACATTATCAAATTTATTTTATAATTCCGCTGCCAGAATTGAATCATTGTGTTTCTTTCACACGCGAATACTCTGTAAGGATAGTTTATCGCTCTCAGACAGAGTCGCATAACAAGGATTATCGTGATACATCGCGCGGCTTCCTTCCGCTCACAATCAATGGCACAACTGTTGATTCTAGTGTCTATTCCATTGATTTACAAATTTCATTATCGCAAAACGTAAATATGTATAGGAAATCTGCGACGACGAACGATGCTTATTTCGCGAGGTAGAAACAATAAAGATATTTAAAGATCATTGCAACAAATACATATATATATATTTAATTCTTATTTTTCTTACACATATCATGTACTGTTATGCACATGTACAATTTACCAAACATTTTTATATTTTTAAAAACTGAAAATCGTTTAAAACAATGTCATGTCAACTCGTACTAGTGGCCTGATAAGATTTTGTGCCATTATAAAATTCTAAATCGATTTGATCTAATTTTTTACGAAAGACATAAAAGTCGTATATCTTTCATCTGAAGATCTGACATCCTAGCTTTTCCGGGCTTTGTTCCATAAAAAAATCACGGTTGTATTTCTCTCGAAAGGAGACCGGATGTTCGTCACGTAGGTCACCTGTTAATTGCATGTGTATTGAACTCTCTTTACGGTTTAATTACGATCCGTGACCTCGTCAAGCAGCGACATTCACAACCGAGTGTGCTGCTATAAATCATCGGATAAGTTTATTTAATTTAATGATGGAAATAAATTATTTCTTAGGAGTTTCCTCGAATTATATTAAATATAAATTAATCATCACGTAAGTTAATAGTGAATATTTATTATTTTATATTCTCATTATGGCAAATTATAATAATTATAAAGTTAAAGATCGATGCAAAATTCGATGATCTATAATAATAATTAATGATAATAAAACGCAATAATTAGTGATTACAGTTCGTCAATCAATGACTTTGAGACGAGGATCATTAAATATTATTAGAGTTATCGAAGACTCATATTTTTTTTTGCCTGACATTTTTTAGCATTTAAGTAAAAACATTTTTATAAATGACCAACTATTATCTTACGTTAGCGCTGAGCAAGCACGATCTTCATATCGCCTTTCTTCAACTTAGAATTAGTACATTCAATGGTAGTTATATCCAACGTTAACTGGCGCTAAATGGAGATAACCGTTCAAATTGTCACAGCGTGATTCCGTATTTTATTTGCTCGATGTCAAGATTGCATCGAATGTAAACATGGGATGATAATTAGACGGTCATATCTAGCATTGAAGTTGTCGTAATACAGTTTAAATGATCACTATGGAATTCCTTTTTTATCGCTAAAGCGGCACGATTGAGCACTAGGCACATTAACGATTAAATTAAGATAAATTGATGGCGCAATTTGATAGTACAATTGATAACATTCGTATTATATTCTTAATGCCCAGCACTACGCGTCTTAGATATATATAATACTTAGGATATATAATACAACTCATTGTACAAATAAGATTATTCAAATTGCGCAAGAGTAAGAAACACGAGAGGCATCACTATCTATTTATGAAAAAATTCGT